CTTCCCCCCCCCCCACCTTCCCTTCAATGAATAACAGAAAGCTCCCTCTATTTTCTTGCTGTAACAATGATTTGAGAAGACTGTTGAAATTTCGTAATGGCGAAGAGAGAACTGTTTCACAGTTATTTTACTTTCATGTTTGATATATCTCAGCATCACTGAAGGCTGTTGTTTTGTTGTTTGTGATTGGCTGTGGACAATGGATGCTTCGTATGAAATGCTTGTGATTGAATACGGTTCTGGCCATACTAATTTCTTCTAATATGGTTCTTAATCAAAATAGATTACATTGTCTTTTTTTTTTTTTTTTTAAGCAGCCTATTGCTAGCAGACATTGTACTATTTGAATAGCAGCCTATTGCTAGTAAACATTGTCCCGACATTGTCCTATTTGAACAGCAGCCTATTGCTAGTAGACATCGTCTTTGAGTAGTCTTGCTAGTAGACATTGTCTTCTTTTGTCCTCTTTGAGCAGTCTATTGCTAGTAAACATTGTCCTCTTTGAACGGTCTATTGCTAGTAGACATTGTTTTCTTTGAGCAGCTTATTGTTGTAGACATTATCTTCTTTGAGCTAGTTTATTACTAGAAACATATAGTTCTCACCTTATTGCTAATAGACATTGTCCTATTTGAGCAACCTATTACTGGCAGATATTGTCCTCTTTGAGCATCCTATTATTGAGCAGATATTGTCCTCTTTGAGCATCCTATTATTGAGCATCCTTTTACGGGCAGATATTGTCTTCTTTGAGCAACCTATTGCTAGCATATATTGTCGTCTTTGGGCCGCCTATTGCTAGTAAATATTGTCCTCTCTAGGCTTTCCCTTCAAGGTTTTAAAACGCTAGGAAGATGTTTTCACACGTGAGATCTCACAATCCACTTCTTCCTTCGTTCAGTTCACCGATCGTGCTCAATGTCCCTAGAATCCTACACTTTAAATTTTATGCTCAACTAAAATTTAAAAAATATTGATTACAAAATTTGTAGGCATAAATTATAGTTTAAATGTTAATTACTTCCACGTCAATGGTCACATCTTTTGTTCGTATCGATGAGACCCAATCTACATGAGCAGAAGTTGGAAAAGGGTCTATTTTCGTAATTATATTTTCCAAAAAAGTAATAAAACGACGTTATTTTTTTTTTAATTTTTTTTTTAAATTTCTAATTTCCTCGGTGTTTCTTCGTGGGCTTCTCAGGCGGAATCTTTCGAGTAATCGTTGCCGCCCAGAACCACCAAGATACCATCAGCCGTTCCTTAGTGGTTCGCACAGCGGAAAACGCCAACCAAGTTGTCCGGCATTTATCTTTTTCACTCATTTTAGCTTCCTCTCTCTCTATCTCTGTTTACAACTTAGCTTGCTCTGCATCTTCCACGAATTTGTTCTTCTCTTCATTTCCGATTCTGATATCTTAATTTTATCCAAAAACAAAGCAACCCATCTTCCATGGCTGCCAATTTCGCCATGCTTAAACCTTGTTCCTCATTTTCGACCCCATCATTTGTTCAGACCAAATTTCGTACACATAGATTGTTATGCACTGGCCCATCTTCCTCTTATTATCCACGATGTCAAGGAGGTTTGTTGTCAGCTACCTTTCGTTTCTTGGAGTAATTTTTGGGTTTTTCCTTGTGGGATTTCTTTTTTGTCCTTCCTTATCTTGTTTGGCTTCTGGGTTCTTAGGAGCTTATGGTTTACGCGTCGTTAAATGTGCTTCTTCTAATGGTAAGGAGCCTGATTCGTTGGATGATGGAGTTAAAAGTGTGGAGCAGTTACTTAAAGAGAAACAGCGGGCAGAATTGTCTGCTCGGATCGCTTCTGGAGAATTCACAGTGGAAAAAGCTGGGTATACAAGTATTTGTGTACTAGATCCTACGAATTGATAGCTCTTTCTTAATATATGGACTGACATAATGCTTGATTATCATGTGTTTTTGTTTTGGGAATCAAGTTTTCCATCTGTGTTGAGGAGTGGGTTGTCAAAGATGGGTGTTCCTAGTGATATTCTGGATTTACTATTTGGTTTCATCAATGCTCAAGAACAATATCCCAAGATTCCTGAAGCTAAAGGATCATTAGATGCAGTTCGTAGTGAGGCTTTCTTCATACCTCTGTATGAACTTTATCTCACGTATGGTGGGATATTTAGATTGAGTTTTGGGCCAAAGGTTTGTTCCTATTTAGTTCTGTAAGTTGCAGTAACTTATTCCACATTGTGATTACTTGCAAGGTATCCCTTAATGTATGATATGATATCTTGGTCTTCTTGCAGTCGTTCTTGATTGTTTCTGATCCTTCCATTGCTAAACATATACTGAAGAATAATCCAAAGAATTATTCTAAGGTACTCCTGTTTGTCAAGTTAGTAAAATTTGTTGGTTCCTTCTTTGTACACTGATGATAGTTGGATGCACAGGGTATCTTAGCTGAAATTCTTGACTTTGTCATGGGGAAGGGACTTATACCAGCTGATGGAGAGATATGGCGTGTACGAAGACGGGCTATAGTCCCATCTTTGCATATGAAGGTAGGGTAACTCTTACTTGCCCTTTCGGCGTGTACTTACTTTTCTGCTTAGATATTTGCTCACAAGAGTGACTGCAAGTAATAAAGCAAGTCATTTGTGAGATCCCACATTGGTTGGAGAGGGAAACGAAGCATTTCTTATAAGGATGTGGAAACCTCTCCCTAGTAGATGTGTTTTAAAACCGTGAGGCTGACGGCGATACGTAATGGACCAAAGCAGACAATATCTATTAGCGGTAGTCTTGGGCTATTACGAATGGTATCAAAGTCAGGCACTGAACGGTGTGCCAGCGAGGACACTGGCTCCCAAGGGGGTGGATTGTGAGATTCCACATTGGTTGGAGGGGGAACGAAGCATTCCTTATAAGAGTGTGGAAACTTCTTCCTAGCAGACATGTTTTAAAACTTTGAGGCTGACGGTGATACGTAACGAGTCAAAGCGGACAATATCTACTAGTAGTGGCCTCAGGCTGGTACATCATCCCAACAACGTGTGTAAGTGTAACGATTGAAGCTCACCGCTAGCAGATATTGTCTTCTCTAGGCTTTTCTTTTCGGGCTTCTCCTCAAGGTTTTTAAAACGCGTCTGATAGAGAGAGGTTTCCACACCCTTATAAAGAATGTTCTGTTCCCCTCTCCAACCGATGCGGGATCTTACAATCCACCCTCATTCGGGGCCCAACGTCCTCGTTGGCATTCGTTCCTCTATCCAATCGATGTGGGATCTCACAGTCCAGCGTCCGCGCTGGCACATCACCTGGTGTCCATCTCCCTTTTGGGCCCAATGCTCTCGCTGACACACCACCCAATGTCCACCCCCCTTTGGGGTTCAGTGTCCTCACTGGCATACCGTCTGGTGTAAAATTAAACTAAATGGAGTCTTGATTATTCATTACAGTAAGTGTGAGGATGGTATGAGATGCTATTGCTTATCTAGAATGCTCTCTGTACAGAGGGAGGTACATTGGAATCTAGGTGTCGGGAGAGTAAGGGGAGGTCTCAAATCTTCTCTCCTATGTGTACTCTGTTTACAGTTGATACTAGCGAAATCTTTCGTCTTCCTAGCCCTTAAGAAACCCTTTTCATGTAGCACTTAAAAATTAAGCCATCCATTTATAACATATACACTTCTGTTGATCTTTTCATGTAGTATGTAGGAGCTATGATTAATGTTTTTGGAGAAGCTGCAGATAGGCTTTGCAATAAGCTAGATGATGCAGCATCTAATGGTGTAGATGTGGAAATGGAGTCCCTCTTCTCCCGTCTGACTTTAGATATCATTGGCAAAGCAGTTTTTAACTATGACTTCGATTCACTTACAAACGACACTGGCATAGTTGAGGTATCTCTTTCCATTTCTTATTCCTTTTGTGAATCCTGATGTTCTTTGACATCAGTATGTCAAATTATTCTGGTTTTTGTAATGCTTATATTCCATTTAGAACAGGCTGTTTACACTGTTCTAAGAGAAGCCGAAGATCGCAGCGTTGCACCGATTCCGGTATGGGAAATTCCGATTTGGAAGGATATTTCTCCACGGCAAAAAAAGGTCTCTAAAGCCCTTAAATTGATCAATGAAACCCTCGATCAACTAATTGCTATATGCAAGGTAAAGTAGCAATTGCAGGCCTCAAAGTTGATCAGGATCTGAACTCTCATTTGACTCTAATGTTTTTCACTCATTTTCAGAGGATGGTTGATGAGGAAGAGCTGCAGTTTCATGAAGAATACATGAACGAGCAAGATCCTAGCATACTTCATTTCCTCCTGGCATCGGGAGACGATGTACGTTCCTAATAGTTGACTAGTCGATGAAAATTGGAGACCCAACTAGTTGATAACTTTCTGGGCTATTATGTGTAGGTTTCAAGCAAGCAGCTTCGTGATGACTTGATGACTATGCTCATAGCTGGGCATGAAACAACTGCTGCAGTTTTAACATGGACCTTTTATCTTCTTTCCAAGGTAATCGATCTCTTCGCATTTACGAGGCACTAAGATATATTCTGTTTTATCATTCAATACTTGTAGTATGTTCCATAAGTACATTGTGTTGCAATCCAATTCTAATTGTTTACCATGAAATCGTCTCAACTTTAGCCGTGATTTTTGGTTGCAGGAGCCTAGGATCATGGCCAAGCTCCAAGAGGAGGTAATGAAGTCTTCTTCTATACTTTATTGTAGATAAAGAACAAAAAATCCTTATCTTTCATACTGGTGTAATTTTGTTAGGTTGATTCGGTCCTCGGGGATCGATTTCCAACCATCGAAGATATGAAGAACCTCAAATATGCCACACGAATAATTAACGAAGTGAGGTTTCATAGCTGTTCAATTTAATATATTATTGTGGATGTATTCCATATTGTTGAGTGACTTTCTCCTTCTGCAATTACAGTCCTTGAGGCTTTATCCACAACCACCAGTTTTAATACGTCGATCTCTTGACAACGATACGCTCGGAAAGTACCCAATAAAGAAGTAAATAGCAAATCAACTGTTTCATTCTCTACTCATAGCTTTAGTATTACATGAAGTTTTATTTATCTTCAATATAAACTTTGTTCTATTTCTTAAATCACATAACTAGCTACTTTGATGTTAGCATTAAGAGGATAATGGGAAGTAATGGTTTATATTTGCAGGGGTGAAGACATATTCATATCTGTTTGGAACTTACATCGCAGTCCAGAACTTTGGGATGATGCAG